GAACATCGCGTAAAAACCAAATGTACGCTTTATTTCGAAACCTGATAACGTATCACCTGGTTTCCATGTCTACTTCCGTGAATACCAAAAAAAATAAAAAATAAAAAAAATAAAAAGAGAGCAAAGGGATAGTAATAGTTAAGGCCAAAATAATGAAAAATAATCGAAATATTTGGAACGCTAGTAACAAAATTAAAGCAATATGGAATATACGACTACATCATATCGACACTTAGTAGAAAATGTTGTTTGAAAGGATAATGAAAGAGAAAGAAGTAATCCGCAAAACGTGGCAGATCTTTTCATCCAACACTTTTTCTAGAATTGCGGCTGAACTCACGAAGGGAATGAGACCACAAAATTCAACATCATTCCCTTCCCAAAAAGATTTCGACGCGATGTTTATTTACGAAACTTCAAACTATATCCTGAGAATAGTCAGTAAACTAAAAAATAAATATTCATGAATTTCCGGATAGTTTATTGAAAACTTGTGTACCTGCCTCTGTACACCCGCTAGCTAACATTTTTTAATGCTTCTTTATGTACAGGAATATTTCCAGATATTTTTAAAACTGCAAAGATTAAGCCACTTTATAAAAAAGGGAACAAAAATGAAATTCAAAATTACCGGTCAATTTCCCTTTTGTCAGTTTTCTCGAAAATATTAGAGAGGTTTTCCTCTACGCAAATGGAAACTTATCTCAGGAAAAACGAAACGTTTTCAGACTCACTACATGGTTTTAGAAAATTAAAATCTACGGAAACTGCAATTTTTTTCTATTCATAAAGAACTTGTCTCATCAATGGACCAAAATGAAGCACCCATTGGAATATTTTTAGATCTTTCGAAAGCTTTTGACGTTATTGACCATTACATCTTGCTGTCAAAATTACCTTCTTATGGAATTCGTGAAATAGCCCTAGATTGAGTAACCACGTTCCTTAAACATCGATCTCAAAGAATAAAAATTCCGTACTGGCCCGAAAGAACATTCTTTACTTATCTTTCTATCCAATTTTACTTCCAATCAACTTTACTATCCAATTCCTTACCAATTGAATATGGGGTCCCGCAAGGTTCGATCTTAGGTCGTATCCTCTTTCTCTTATACGTAAACGATAGGCCCTCGCCTATTAAAAACGGAAGAACAGTTTTGTTTGCCGATGACACGAATGCTCTTTGCAAAAAAGAAACAATAAATAGTACGATTTCAGAAGTTTCAAATTGGTTTTGCAAAAACAAATTAATAGTTAACGAAATAAAAGCAGTTTCAATGCATTTTTTGATTTCTTTAATTTTTTGATGACGTCATAAACATCTATATTGTTGTAATATCTTGAATATTGAATGTTATTAAAAGAGAAATATATGTTCGTAACGTTTTATAAGATTTTTTCGATTACCTGTGGATTGTGCAATCATGCAGCCTAACAACTGTAAAACCATAATCAATAATCTGATTAGAAATATTATGAACAAAAATTAGTAAGTGAAAATATATTTTGAAATGGAAATGGGCAGATAAGTCTAGAAAAATCTGCAAGCTTGTGTTGATCTTCATTACATGTACGGCAGCATTCATACTGATATAATTTCTGTTTGTAACAACCAAAAATATAAGATGGCATCAAAATCCATCATTTTCAGAGGTCAAAGTTGGTCAGTAGTAAAACACTTTCCCCACTTTGTATTATTTTATGCGATTCGAGATTTTGGCTTTGTTAGGCTCGCACCACTCTGTATCATATTTTCTCTATCTTCAAACAGGAACTTCCTTTTTATTTTACCAAAAACTAAATGTTCTTTTTAATATCCTAGCTCATGACATTTTAATTTTGGCTGCTCTTGTGTTGTGCCAGCCTATCCAACTATTATCTATTTGAAATTGGTTCCTTATATGTATTGACCTAATTCATGAATTGTAAATGCAGCCATAATGTAGTCAATTTTGTTAGCTTCATCTGCTCTTTTGTAATGTCTTTTTTCTTTCTTTTCTTCTTCCCTTAGATGCATATACACCACATGAAACCTTAAGAAATTATCTAACAGACCTTACAAACCCTGCATTTATCCAGCTAGAGCTAATCATTCATTTTTCCAACCTATTTGGGTTAAAATGGTCACACCTACTTAATACCCAAGTAATACTTCATACATTCTGCTCTCAGAAACTGTTTGTGTATATACTGACTCAACTGCATTATAAATGTCTTCTAGAACTTTCAAAAGAGGAATAGGCAGAATATAAGTAGATCAATTTCAGTACAGATAGAACACAAGTGCATGAAGATATTCCAGAAATGCTCTTAGAGGGATAATAAATTATAGATCCCAAGGTCCAGGAGGGATACCAGTTGTGCTGTTAAAACACCCACCAGACCAAATGTAAGAAATTATTATAAAGTTATTTAATAAATGCCTCATTGATCAGGAAGACATTCTTCAGGAATCAAAATAGCCAAAATTATTCCAAGAGAAATAAAGATAAACGTGAAATGTATATGGGCATTAGAATAAGTTCAATTAATACACTGTAAGGACAATTACTTGAATCTGTAGTTTTTGTCAAACCTGACTGAAGGTTGGGAACATATTTTCATACAATACAGATATTTATAATTACAGCACAAATCATAGGAATCTTGTACATCAGGCGTCAGTATCAACAGCTTGCTACACAAGTTTGTGCCAAGTAAAACCTTTTCTGCTGCATAACTCTTTCTCTACAATTAGAGACTCTACTAACCATGAAAAATAAAAATATGTAAATTTTAACAATGATTTATAATGCATTGGTTAACATTTGTACCATATAATTTTATAAAAGGCTAAATATGCCTGTAACAAGTAATTATTTCAGCTGGTGGATCAATGAGCACTATTAAGATAAGGTTTTTCTTCTAGTTTCCCTTATGTATTGAGCAAATGCTGAGATGGCTTCTTGTTTTCCTTCTGGACGTAATGTAACTTCATTTAAACACGCGTTTCGTTGAGCTCTCTTTTGCTAGTTGTGGCTTGAGTGTGGATTACTGTTTTGTTATTAAAAAGTCAAAACTGTTATTCGTTTACCTAAGCAAATAAATTTTCTATTACTCGGGAGTGAAGATTTCTATTTTCTAGTTTTTCAAGTGTTAACCTCGCTTTGTCACACAATAGGTATAGTAAAAGAGTTGGGAAGAGAATCTGGAGCTGAAGAAAATGTGCGTAAATTATACTTCTCCCCATGTCAAGTACAGTTCTTACTGTTATTTGGCGAAAATAAACCACATCGAACTAATTAAAGGAATAAAGACAGAGATAGACAATCTAAAGAGCAAACATAAAATAAATTTTGTCACCTACGGTTCAGATTTATGAGAAACAACTTAGAAAAACAAATTGTGGACCTGGAATTTTTGTTTCTTTCCCAGGGTAACAAACCAGAGAATGAACTAGTAATATTTTTGTCAGAGGTGGCGTAAGGTTACCGCGTACTCCGACCCACTCTGTGCCTTGGCATATGCGACGTTGCTACTAATTGGGGACATTGAGTTGATTACCCCATTCATTTCACACAGTGAATATCAGTGCGTAAACTAGATACATTAATTTAAAAACAATATTTTATTCAAAATTTGTATTGTAAAACTTCTACGTCGGGGAAAGAAATAATAAGCATTGAACTAGCAAAAAAGAAACGACTGTGCTGTGCATTCCTTCCGAAAAAAGCACTACGTAATCACAATATCACTTATATTTCCTTTTAATTTCACCTGTTATTTGTTCCCTACTTTAAAAAAATAAGCATGCGCCCTAATTTATTGTGCTTCGCCCGTTTTCAAATACAAGTATTACCATTGCATTACACGGGAATTAACACAATTGTTTCGACAATTTAGACATTATTTGGTACATCTTCGTAATTACTATAATATTTCTGTGATCCAATGATATTAGTTATATCTATTATCACTGATACAATGTGTTTAAAGATGTGAAATCTACAATTTATGCAATAGTCAACTGATAGTATGATAAACACAAGTTCATAATTAACATTATACTATTAACAAATATCATAAATCTTTGTTGAACACTTACCTAATAACAACCCGCTTGTTATTCCAGTTTATATCCGATACGCAAAACTTTCTCAATTCCATCGTGCAAGTGCAAAAATAATTGCAATTTTGATACCAAATTAAATCGTCAATTACCTGGTTTGATCACATTCTCAATACATCTGGGACACTTCAATTGTCATTTTACACTTCAATTGTCAATTACTACGTTTATTACTCAAGGCACGTTTATTACGTTTATTAATCTTTAGAAGCAGGACCAACATCTGAATCGATATTGTTTAATACATCGATCAATATAATAATATCACGGGAAGGGATTCTGGAATTCAAGAAAACGTGCGCAGATAATCTCCCCCCCCCCCTACGTCAGTACAGTTTTTAGTTTTTTGATTGAATAAATCTAAATCTATCATATAAAAATGATTTTAGTATTAAATTACTAAACTTGTCAAAACATTACGTTTTTCCCGTCTTTTAAGTTTAAATATAGTTTGTATAAAAATATTTATGAAACCTGTTATGTAAAAAAAAAAGAAAGAAAAATTCTGCCTGATGTATTGTTGATAAAAAATATTTAAGTTAATAGTTAGGCAATGGAAACTATTCATTTATTGTTAATGTTAGTTGTCATACGAAATATTCATTTTAGTCAATGAGAATAGGCTATAGGTTTACAAGAAGTTATTTTCATGTTAATTTGTTTTTCAATATTACCAGAAAAATTGTGATGTTTTGATAACTTATTTGGAAATCATATTATAGATGAAAATTTTCAAGTGAATATAGAGCTTTAGAAAATATAACATATAAATATCTGGGCTTGCTAATGAATCAAACTAGATGCTCTCTGCGTAAGTGCGAACGCGCGCCAAATATACCCTGACCAATTACAAAAGGTAGAAAGCTGGTAGAAAGTTCAGGGGTACCACATTCGTAAACATTACTCTCACACTCTCATCTGCACACTGGGCCATGTAGAATGTTTATATCCCAAATGCCAACTTAATTGTACCAGCTGTTCTGTAGATAGAAATGACTCAAGTACTAGAACATTCTAATTTTATTACCCCTCCCGGGTAGCGTTGAATAATTTAATTGTTTTCTTTCTATGGTTTGGTAAGTAATTTTCAACTTTACCTGAACGTCATTCAGTGTGTATACATATTGGTGCGTGGTTTATTAGGTTTACTTGTGGGCGTAACTTAACCTCCTACGTGAGTTGATTTCTGTGAGTAGCTGCTCACTGAGGAGTGCTTAGCTTTTTAGCAGAAAATGAAGATTACATACACGGTCCAGTTAATTGGTTTCTTATTAAAGTAATATTTATGGGCGTACGATATAATTTTCAAAATCGAAAGATAGTGTGCTAATGTTATGTCATAATGATGACATGTAAACATTGCCTGGGAACCTTCAAATTTGAAAAAAATTATGAAATATATTGTCTGATAGATAAACTTGCAGAATGTACAAATGTGATTTAAAAATATTGAAAGATAGTTATGAATAGTAATATTTTTTCTTATATTTTGCTTTAAAGAGAAAATCATTTAAATACTTCACATTTTAATACTAATGGGTTATACTAAATGATTCATTTTATTGTGGTCAATCATAACAATGTGAAATGATGTTAACATTATAAGCATGTTGAAAATGGGATGACAGTGAAGCATTTGAGATTACCAAAGTGTTGGTGAATATTTCCTTCTAAGAAATGAAATTGAATTTTACATTGTGAAACTAACTTGTTAATTCGTAAAAAAATAAAACGAGTGTTAATGACTGTAAGTTTTTAATCACTCATCTTTTCAAACCTGAGGCTGTATGTTAAAGTTCTTAATGAAGTATGATAATGTCCAAAGGTTCACCATGGAAGAAGGGCAAATTGCTAAAGTCCTTCAGGACTTTTTTACCACTGCAGAAGGAGAATTGAGCCTTCAAAAAGGAGACATTGTCCAGGTAATGCTCTAAATTTCTTCTGGAAATCGCATATTTATTATGTAAAAGTTTCTTCTCTACAGACAAAATTTCTTGTCATTTTTACTAATACGGATGGGTGCATTAGTATCAAATTTAGTTAACATAGGTCAAACTAAATAGATCAATTAAAATATCCATTGACTAGCTTTAATTCTATTTAAATTTTAGCCTTTTTGTGAGTTAAGTGCTGATATAAAATAAATGTGTTTTGTACACATCCTATTTGCCTAGTGGCTAAACCAATGCGTTTTGTGTCTTGTTTGAGTGCTTAAACTCAAAAATTTTTCTTTTAACAATTCATATAGGTCTAAATGTAACCAGCAATGGAATAAATCAAACAGGTCTGAACATTGCAGTTTATTTCATTATACATTTTTTTCTCAGCTTATTTTCTTATCAACTGTTATATTATTAAGTACACCTTAAATTTAAAGTATAAATGTAAGTTTCTGTAGTTATAGATAAATTTATTAATGGGCTTATTGTTTCTTTCAGATATTGAAAAAAATTGACAAACTTTGGTGTTTTGGTTGTCACAATGGTAGAACTGGAAATATGCCTTTAAATTACTTAATTTTTATAAATTGTCCAAATTTACAAGATGGAGAAGAACTTTTTGCATCAATTGCCAGTTTCCCTATGCAGCAAAGTGGCGATCTTTCCTTTGATAGAGGTTTTTTATATTATTATTATTTTTTTTAAATCTATTAATTACTGAAGAACTCTATTATGTGCAGTAGCTCTTATCTGCAATAGTCATTGTAATGGTTGGTTAACTAATGTTTTAACTAATTTTGAAATAATCTTCGCTTTATTTGTTTTTAAAATTACTGTACCTTATCTTCAAATTTGTAAAACATTAAGCAAATCCCCTTAGTGAATACACCAGAATTGTGAAACTTAAATTAAAATTAAATGTTGCTATCATTACTTTCTAAATCAGTTATGATATGGTACTTTTGGCAAAGAAGTAGTGAGTTATAATTAAATAAATTGCACATAAGGGAGAGCGGGGGGGGGGGACTCCAGTCTCCCCCCACCTGTCAGAAGCCAATAGTACATATTAACCCTTTGTTTCTGTTAGGCCACTTACATGGACTTTGTTGAGGGTCAGATTTGACCCCACGTTTTGTCCAATAGGGGAAACCTGTATTTCATGCACAGATGCTATTTGGAATTATTAAATGGTGTTAATTTGCTTTATTTACTATTTTGGACTATAAAAACAAAGAATAATATTTCCAGAAAAACATTCTTGCATAGTCTTATAACTATACATACGATGTCTACCATACCAGCATGAGAATGTTTGATACACGGCTACTTGTCTTAGTAGACAAATATGCCTAATTGCCATTCAGAAACAAAAACATAATATTATAAAATGGAAATGGACACTTTTTTAGAGTTTCTCTAATAATTTAAATGTGAAATTTATTTGGGTGTAACGTGAAATGTATTTGGGAGTATTTCTGATTCCAACCGTATCAAAATCAAATTACTTCAAACCAAGAAAACTAAAAAATTTGAAAATTTGATAACACATCTAAATTGGACATAAATAGCATATCTAAAAGGAGAAGTTCATGTGCATAATTTTCAGTGTGTTGCAAAACATTATTTGTGCCTGGGGTCAGAAATGGCGGGTTAAAATATGTTACTTTTACTAATTTTCTATATTAACAAATGTAATTAAATAATTAACACAATACTACTTAATTGTTATGTCAGTTAAATTCTTCATGGCGCTTAATGAAATATTTTATTGCTCTTTATTTATTTAGATTTGTTATTGTACTCTAGGTGAATTGATAGTTGGAGTTAGAAAAGTGGATGACAATTGGTGGCAAGGGAGAATTGATGCAAGAGTTGGTATGTTCCCAAGAACATATACGTGGCAGCTTGACTCTTCTTTTATGAAGGTGAATGCCATTGAATAATTAATCATTGGTATAAAAAATATGATTATAGTATATAATTGTATATGTATTTAAGAGTATTTACTTGATATAAAACACAATATAATTTTTTTGAAATATTACATAATTACATCACATAATAAAAGTGAAGTTATTCACATTTTGATTAATACAGTGTTAGTTAATAAGGTTGACTTTAGTTAAAGTGAATTGATGTGACTGGTCTTGTTCAATGTACACAATTAGTATGCACTAAAAGATTTGGTTATAATGAAACATTGTAAATGATCTTACAATAAAAATCTTTTTATCTCAATGCTGCAAACAGCAGTAGGTACATTTGTAGGTTGAGTTGAACACGAGTTATTTTTGTAACATTTATGGTAAATGAAAGGGATTGAGGGAACTGTGCTACTGATAGCTTCAGTTCATTAGTGGCAGTTCTCTTCAGCCTAAAGACTTTATGGACCTGGCTCATAAGTTGAAAACTAGTGAAATCGGATCTAACTAGAACACATGAATGCAGTGAAGGGATCTCCTAAAGCAGAAAAAAGTAAAAATGCTGACAAATAAGATACAAGTATGAAGAAAGCTCTCCAGTACAAAAGACATTCATGGTGTTAAAATCCCTTTAAGATATGAAGAGAGTGTGGACAAAGTAGATGTAGAATAAAGTGTAAAGAATGCACAATGATATTGAAATTTTGAATTTGAAGCTATTAGATATTTTATTGTACCTCTTAAATAATAAGCCAGTCATAGTTGTAAAACTATGTTTGAGATTACTGAATATAGTGAACCTCTGAAATAGTGAATCAAAAGTGTTAGTACCTAGAAGTTAACTATAACTGGAGTCGACTGTAGCCGTTTTTAGGAATTACTTGTGTAAATGAGAAACTGTCACATGTTCAAATGATGCAATTCATCAGCTCAATTACTGAGAAATAACCTGCATTTAAGGCCAAATTTGAATTTAAGAAAGCATTTAAATTAGCATTTTTGCAGACAAAGTGACTCACTATAAGAGATTACTCACTATAAGAGGTATTATAAAGAACATCTAATAAATAACTTCAATTTTTTGGCTGCATAAATAATTAAAGCAAATAACCGTAAAGCAAATATGAAGGTGACAGTGAAAAATTTGAAACTGTTTACTACCTTTATATATATATATTATATATATATATATATATATATTATATATATATATATATATATATAAACACCATTAACGTGAGAAAGTATGCTGTCATAATACAGGAAGCTTCTTTTAAATTTATCATTAGAAAAGCACACTCAGATAATCAAATGTTAGAATGGCAAATATGCTAGTTTTGATCGTATTGGATATAATTATTTCTGCTGTATCTATATATAAATAAAAGGGAATGTGTGTATGTGTGTTACACATAGATGCAAAATCTACTTGACCAATTTCACTGAAATTTTAACACCTTGTTCTTATTACTAATTAGAGTGTTTTAAGAGTGGCGTGAATTAAATCAGACATTTCGGTGCATTGTTGATGATTTGTTGTTGATAACGAGAATGCCAGCACCCCTGATCCCTATGCAACCCACTGCAGAGTCAAGGATGAAGAGAGTCTTCACTGCATTTTCTGCTATTCTGTCCCTGCGATTGTGAAATATCGGCCAGAATTATTACTTGAATCACAGACAAGTAAATCAAATTTCTCCAAGATATATTACGAGCGCATGCCTGAATTTGAAGAAGGTTTTAACTGAAGGATAGTTGACAATCATGTCCAAACCAGGACATGGTACAAATCCATACATGCAAGAAAGTCTCTTGTAATTTAGAATTTTTGCACAGCTTAGCATAAAACATGATTAACAATTATGTGACTAGAAGTGTGTTATGTGTAATACTCTGCAATAGTGAAGCATTGTCGGGCCGCTAGTTATTAATATAATATTTTGTCTTTATTCTCTTTTGATATGTTAGCAAAACATTTAATTTGTGTGCATTACAGAGAAAGGAAAGCCAACCTTATAAAATGAAGAAAGCTAGAGTTAAAAAAGACTTGCAAGCACAAATTGATGAAGAAATTGATCTGTTTGCTGGAGATATAGTAACAGTCACAGAAGTAGTTGACAAGGATTGGTATCGGTATGATTTCCTCATGTTTTATTACTAAATGGAGCTCAGTGTCTTTTATTACCAATAATAATTGAATGATAGTAAATCGATTTTCTCATTGTTTTGTGAAAATTCAAGTATACTGGCAACAGTGTTTCTAATTTCCAATGAAAGGTTACATATGTTGAATATAATAATTTTTTTTTCATATGAAAGGATGAAATTAAAGAATTAGTGTGGAAATTTCATTTGTCTCCAATTATAAATGTTTTTTGTATTATTTTCTTACCACTGTTGTATCTTGAACTTCCATTGTCAAAACTTATTACTTGATATAGCTGTACATGAAAGCACGTTATGGAACAGCTAGCATGCTTATGTGAATGTTCTGATAAAAATGTCTGAATATTTTGAGCCAGAAGTATTTTGTTTTAGCCTGGTCTCTGAAAGTATTCTCCCCCACCCAAAAAAAATAATCCTCAATTAACTATTCTATTAATTAAGCTAATCATCACAATTTGATTGATCATGAGAAATTACATTTTACTTAAGCATTTTCGTGTTTGGAAACTGTATATTCATTCAAATAAATTCTCTTTCTATTCTATAAAATAATTGTTGCCAGGAACTGTTCCATTTCATCTTTGATGAGGCGGTTAGTCTAATATGAAGTAGGATTTAGGTCAAGACACTATTAACAATTTTGTTAGATGTTATTAATAATGAAAAGAGTGTGAAACGTGAAGAAGATAAGATTTATGAAAATTGCATCACAAGTTTATCAATAGTTTTCATGTTGTTGATTTTGTTCAACTCAGATTTTCAACTCATTAGATTTAACCATTTTATTAACTATGTAATGAACTTTTATGATGTGTTTGATGTTTGGTGTTGATAGTGAAAGCATTTATTTGTAATAAGCAATGCGGAACAGTAATTCTATTCTCTTCTTTTATAGGGGTGAAAGCAGAGGCAAGACTGGAATTTTTCCTGCTGCATTTGTTACTCTTTTGAATGAGGCTGATGAATCTTCTCAACAAAATTATCCATCAACAGCTTCTAGTTCAAACTTTTCAGCTCCCAGCACATTTCCTAACAGTGATCTTATGGATGGCCCACCATCATATAGTGATGTTTTTGGAACAAATGTACCTTCTACCTCTAGCTTTTTGACCAATAATACAAATGATATGTTTGATGATGATTATTTTAAACAGAATGCTCCCAGTACATTTTTTGCTGAACAAAATGACAACCAACGTGGCTTACTAGATTTGGATCAATCAAAAGAGGCAGGCATAATACCTTATGGCATTTCTCTCTACCCATTTCATGCCCAGTTTGATAATGAACTGAGCTTTGGTGAAGGAGAAATTGTTACTTTGATTCGCTACATTAGTAAAGATTGGATGGAAGGCAAAATATATGATAGAAAAGGAATATTTCCTTGTAATTATGTGAATGTTATTGTAGATTGCGGTCGAGACAATGATTTACAGAGTAGTGGAATTGGCTCCACATTGGAAAGTTCTTCTACGGGATCATGTGACTTAGAAACTGAATCATTTGCTGCTGTCCTTTATAATTTTGATGCACAAATGAATAGTGATATAAGCGTGAAAGAAGGTGAAATAGTGTATGTAATGGAGCAACCAAATGAAAGTTGGTGTAAAGTGCGAAACCAGTCAGGAGAAATTGGACTTTGTCCTAGGAACTATTTGACACTTCATGTTTCTCAACCAAAAGTAAAGACTAATTTGTTTCAAAGATTTTCTCTCGCAAATGACAATCTTTTAGACTCAGAGATTCCAGACAATATTGATCATGTGGAAAATAGAAGAAGTTATCAACCCCAGGATTTTATGTCAGGTTCACATGGAACATGCAGTGTAGATGATCTTATATCATTAAATATTGATAATCTCAAAAGCAATAAAACATGGCATGCAAAACCTACATCAAGCATGAGGGACCTTTCTGATATATTTGGAAGTAGTAGTAATAAATCTGCATCAGGGAGTAGTGATCGCCTCTCCAGCTCTGGACAAAGTTATAATAGTGTTGAAAAGAGAGTGCCATCACCAGCTGCTGGAGAACTGGATTGGCAAAACAATGTTTCTCAACCAACAAGTCGGCAAAGTAGCACACTCTCATTGTTGGATGAACCTATTGTACCTGCCACACCATCTACGTCTAGTGGTAAGAAACGGATTAGTAGTTAATTATGTGACTATTCACGCATACAAATTTTTTTATAACCTTCTCTTGTAGTATATGAAGTACTTTCAAATAGTAGAATAATATATTTTAGTATTTAATATCTTATTATATTTCTAGTTCTTGCTGCTAAATACCTGGATTAGTCATATTTTTCATTGCTTTACTTTAGGTTTCCAAGGATTTGGTCTTCCACGCAGGAGAGGTACGAAAGTTGTGTGCATAAACTTTCTATATCTTGTTGGCTTTCCTTTTCTTGTTATTTGTCTTTATTTTGATAGATTGAGATGATATTAATTTTTTTTGTAAATATCTATCCAAAATTAGTTACTTAATAATGTAATACAAACAGGATTTTCTTAGAGAAAGTTCACTTCTGAGACAGTTGTATTGCTTTTGTAATGGCTTATCATGACCCCTCATGTATATTAGTTTGAATTTTCCGTCACTTGAATGCTTTTGTTAGCATTTGGTCTCAAATTTTTGGTTGCTATTTTGAAATTTTGTCAAACTTGTTTCTCAATTTATTTGCCATCAATTTTATTTTTGCTGATGTTTTAAAAGTTGCCCTTTTGCATCTGTTTTTTTTTCAAGTTTAAAATATTGATAGAAAATACAAAACACCTTAAATTGTGTCCAGGGTGTCTTGCATTCGAGTTTTTTTGTCTCAATTGTAAGGTATTTAACAAATTTTGCATAGAGTACAGTCATTGTTTTTTCTAGTATTTCGTAGGGTTTGGGCCTGGGCTTTTATTTCTTCAATACATTTATGTAGTTCTGTTCCATTTTGAAGTGTTTATTTTCAGTCCACACATAAATACGAGTACATAAGATCTCTGCTTATCATTTGAAAACACCTTATTTTTGCAGAATTTATGCTGCTATGTTTCATACAGTACCTATTTTTGCAAGTAGTGCAGACACACATTTTATCACAGCTAAGCATGCAGACATTGTATGGACTCATTTTTGTGCAATTATCATGAACATAATTGTAGTAAAATTCACTTATAAAAATTACTACCAAAACTCCCTTAATTTTAAATTTTGATTTTCTTTAAATGTTTTTTGCTTTTTATAAGGATACTTTTATTTGTTTGTATGTGTTTTGAGTTAATGTTTTATTATAATTGGTAGTATTTTCATAAAATAATCTACTATTCGTTGTTTATGTAGACCTTATTACTAAAATCTTACTGGAATGTAGTACATGATTTTCCAAATCCTTTTTCTAGTAACTTAAAATTAAATTTTATAAGAACTTATCTTTCAGATCATATGCTTTCTGTTTATTTATATAATGTATTATTAGAACATGCCTGATGCAACATGTATTGTGATACAGTGCAACCTCTCTAGTGTAGAGGTTCTTACAAACGAGTAACTTTCTCCCCAATCCTACAAACATTGTCTGCTAAGAAGAGGTATATGCCATTAACAGGTGTCTGCTCTGAGAGATTTCACTGTTCTTATTTAAACTGAAAGTAATAGTGATAATTATTTATTGTATCATAATATTTCAACAATTCAAGTTATTTCTTCTGCAGAGTATGTGCTTTATTGAAGGTTAAGTGTAAAAAAGCCATCTTTTGAAATTGTGGCATATTTTTTTGTTATTTGATATAAGAAGTTGAATGGCATATACAAAGTATATTTGTAGTAATTGAGTGAACTTAATTATACTCTTTACAGAACATGCGTTAGCATCTATTTAGAGATTTTTAATCCCTAATTATTTTAGTCTATTTAAAGATTATTTAATTTCTAAACATTTCATTTTAATTGAATTTAGTGTTTTAATTTTTTGTGGTATTGAAAACTAAAATAGAGCATTGTACAAGACCAAAATATTTGTATTATTCACAGTTTTATTGTTGGTATTTTAATATAAATTTTAGTATTTATAGGAAGGTGAGTTATAATTACTTTCATGGTAACATTGTGCAATAGCACAACGTTAAAATATATACTATTATTATAATCTATCATATTGAGCTCTTACATACTACATATGCCCTTGCAGGTCCATTGCAGCCATCACGGTTTGCACCACCAGTTCCTCCACCAACTCACAAATTGAAGCGGCAGATTTCTGACAGAGTGCCTCATCGACCAGCTCCCCCTGTCCCATTGCCTGGCCAGAAACCAATGCGACGACTAGAGGGATCACCACAACGTCATGCTGGTATGAACACAGTTCTCTTTTGTTGTTTTCCTTTTTCGTCTTCTTCGTAGTCTTCTTCTTAGTCTTCTTCTTAGTCTTCTTCTTAGTCTTCTACCTAGTCTTCTACCTAGTCTTCTACCTAGTCTTCTACCTAGTCTTCTACCTAGTCTTCTTCCTAGTCTTCTTCCTAGTCTTCTTCCTAGTCTTCTTCCTAGTCGTCTTCCTAGTCGTCTTCTTCCTAGTCGTCTTCTTCCTAGTCGTCTTCTTCCTAGTCGTCTTCTTCTGAGTCTTCTTCTTCTGAGTCTTCTTCTTCTTCTTCTTAGTCTTCTTCTTCTTCTTAGTCTTCTTCTTCTTCTTAGTCTTCTTCTTCTTCTTCTTCTTCTTCTGGCTCTTCTTCTCCTTAGTCTTCTCTTCTTCTTCGTCTTAGTCTATCTTCTTCTTTTCTTCTTCTTTATAGTCTTCTTTTCTTCTTCTCTTAGTCTTCTCTTCTTCTCTTCTTAGTCATCTTCTTCTTCTTCTTTTAGTCTTCTTCTTCTTTTCTCTTAGTCTTCTTCTTCTTCTTCTTCTTCTTTAGTCTTCTTCTTCTTTTCTTCTCTTCTTAAGTCTTCTTCTTTCTTCTTCTGTCTTCTCTTAGTTTCTCTTCTTCTAGGTCTTCTTCTTCTTCTTCTTCTAGTCTCTTCTTCTTCTATCTTCTTAGTCTTCTTTCTTCTCTTAGTCTTCTTCTTTCTTTTCTCTTGTCTTCTTTTTCTTCTTCTTAGTCTTCTTCTTCTTCTTCTTCTTAGTCTTCTTCTTCTTCTTCTTCTTAGTCTTCTTCTTCTTCTTTCTTCTTAGTCTTCTTAGTCTTCTTCTTCTTCTTTCTTCTTCTTCTTCTTAGTCTTCTTCTTAGTCTTCTTCTTCTTCTTCTTCTTCGTCTTCTTATTCGTCTTCTTATTCGTCTTCTCCTTATTCGTCTTCTCCTTATTCGTCTTCTTCTTATTCGTCTTCTTCTTATTCGTCTTCTTCTTATTCGTCTTCTTCTTATTCGTCTTCTTCTTTTCTTCTTCAAGCAAACAATACTTAAGTGTAAACCCTCTCACCTCGTGGATATCATGGAGAATGTCTGAGTCATCATAACTTGAATCTGACAGTTGTCAGTGCATGAATAATATTCATGTAATATATGAATATCACTGATGAAAAATGAAAATGTTGCATAAAGCAGTTGTGAGAGAAAATAGATGTAATGTTCACAGATCAATCTCCCTTATGTTTTGTGTATGATTAGTATTTCAAAATGATTAAAAACATCTTCAAAAAATGTTGAAAGCTTTTGCATGTTCCTGAGTTGTTGGTTTTTCCCCCATAAAAGAACTGGGCACGTGCTGTGAGAATGTTCCCATTTCTTTGCAAAATAATGAAGTTTTCCATTTGTGAACCTGTAAAGAATTTAGAGCTTCAATGTAATGAACATTTTGCAACCCCTATTTAAACTCAAGAGTGAATCATGAATCAGAAAAAAACAATTTTCTCTTATAAATAACACCCTTTCTGAGAGCCACTGGTCCACAAATTAAGATGGTAAAATTTCTGTAACAGTCACCCTATCAGGGCAAAATAGCCATTTCATGAATATTCACTGACTGAAGTTTTAAATAATAATACGTTTTAATTTCATGTGATTTTAATGTTATGGTTGTAGTATTTTTGTGTATATGTGACAATTATACTTCCTAAATTTGTGTTTATATCTGTTTTGAAAACAATATCTATTCTAGGTTCGTAATTATATGTATATATCTGTTTTGCAAAGAATGTGGTTATTAATGCTTTTCTACTTATATACAATTTTATATTTTAATTCATTGTATTTTAAAACTGCTTCTGGTCTGTTTGTGAAAAGGAATTTTCTGAATGTGTAGGAAAATTGAAAATTGTTCTTATTGCCATAAAGAGTATGAAAAAATAATTTTTCCTCATATGAACATGAACATCAAGCTGAACGTTATTTCTGGCAACTAGTATCAAATGTATAAAAAGGCTTCTGCATATACTTCAATGAAAATAATTTTTTTGAATTGTATACATTTTTGTAAGTATTGAAAATGTTATATTTTATGGGTGAATTATTTATTTTTGTACGGTCCCTTTCGAAATATGTGGTGATTCAGCATATAATCTATTAATTTTGACTCTTAAGGAAATTATGAAAGTGCATACTCAATATAAACTTAAATATTTTTGTTTTGTTTTAGTTGAAGGCGAATGTAATCAGCAGTCAGGCAGAAATGAAATAATAGCCAAAGAAAATCAATTAAAGGTTAATATTGAAAAAACCAATTAATGTTATGTGCTCTATGTTTTTCTGCATTTAACAAATTTTTATTTACTCTTAATAAATTATTTTGTACTTAGTACCTGATGCAAATGAAAGAAGAAATTTTAAGAAAAATTGACTTCCACGAAGACTGCAATGATGTTGAATTTAATAATATGAAGTATCAAGTTAATGTTTATGATGAGAAAATAAAAGTTCTTACTGCAGATTTGGAAAGGCTAAAAGGTAATTTAAAGTAATAATAAAGTATTATTTTTCATTTTGCAAATTTTGATAATTTCTACCAAATAAAATAATATTTATTTGAAGTATTTATTAAAATGTTATATAAATATTTATTTTTATTGTTTTATTTTATTTATGTAAATATTTCACACGTTGAGGTGGTGAACAAAATGCTGACAGCAGTAGCAGAGAGTGTGTTGTGGGATCAGAAACACCATCTGCAACTATTCCTACTTCTTGTAGTGAAGAGGAAAGGAGGTAAGATGTTCATTGAAGAATCTTCTTAATTCTACATTAATAGAGGACATAAAAACTAACACTAAATGTCATGGCATATCTTGAAAATATTAAAATAAACTTACTTTTGTTCTTTTAACTTCCTTGCCTTTCTGCGATCTCATGATGAGGCAGAAATTAGAGATTTTTTGACAGGAAAAACTTGTATCAGGGGGCCTTGGTTTTAGAAAAATCTTTTTCTTACATGTAGTAAATTACTTCCTCCAACACTTGTAGTTGGAATCCATAATCGTGTATGTTCTGCCTACACTTGTATAACAAAAAAGTGGTTGACTTCAAAACATCTCTCTGCCCATCTGTCTGTGTGTGTCTCCATCTCCCATGTCTGTGGTCTCAGTGGCACATCAGAGAATTTTTCAACATCTTTCTACAAGAAGGTAGATTTTTTCCTAATGAAATATGCTCTTCTAAAACGTCTTGAAATCAGATCATATACAATGTTCCGAAAACATGAGTAGTTTTTGTCTTAATACAGGATATATTTAATCAAGTATTGTCTTTAAAATGGCTCCAAATTCTTTCTTGACATTTTTTCCTCCGATAGAGCATTAGATGCCTATAATAACTGTGCAGGTCCAGTTTTTGACAAACTCTCAGGGTTTTCAAAAATTGCAAAAACATTGTCATTGTAAAAGTACAATATCAATGAGAGATACTTTTTTATTAAATGAAATCTATTCTATAAAATTAGATCTTAAAAGGTCATGTACAATGTTTTTAAAAAATGGGTAGCCTTTGTGTTATTTCTGCTTTAAGGTAATACTTAAATTTTTGCTGTTTGCACACACTTTTTGCAGGTTTGTGTAGTATTATTATATTGCTTAGCCATTACAAACAATGTGAGAAGTATGTGCTGTCTAGCACCACTAGCATTTCATCACATATCACTATGTAGTATAGAGAAACTTATGTAATGCTGCAGCAAAATGTTTTTTGTAGTTTCCTGATACAAAGTAAGTGGATTGTTCCAACCCTTGTACTTAGTAAATTTGACACTTCTAATGCATTTTGTATTCAGAATCCATGTTTTGTGGGTCCTTGCTACAGAAGAATTGGTTTACTGTAAAACATTCATCTGCCCGAGTCTCTCTCTGGCTGTCTGATTTGTATCTGTTTCTTTGTCTGTCTGTTTTCCTCTCTTTGTAAGTCTGCCTAAATCTCTGTGAACGATGCTAGCTTCTGAACTATTCTCAGGATTTTCACCAAATGTGATATATCTCAATCAATCCAGCTGATGTTGTGGCTCTTTGAATTTGAAATGGATGTTTTAATTCTTCAGAGCAACTTCTATAAAACCTCTTTGATATCAAAATATTCTCATATATAGATCCAAATTTTTTCTTCAGATTTTTTCTTGAATAAAGCAAAGTATGTCTATAAAAATGGCAGTGGTCGGATTTTCATTAAAATCACAAATATTTCAAAAGTTAAAATTTTTCAGTATCTTCCTTCAAGTATAATAATAGAGAGATATTTGTTTCTTAATGAATTGATTTTCATCTGAACTCTTCCAATTTTCATTTAAACTTGAGTTTTACAAAATTGAAAATGTTCAACAATCTTTTTGAATTGTCAAGATTATTATGCTGATTAAAGCAATTGGTGTAGTGTTTATGCTAACTGCATGCTAAACCTAAGGGTGCATGGGTTCTAGCATGGGCAAACATTTTTGCAGGTTGAAAACAATTTTGTTGATTCAAGAGGTGGTGTTATATTTTGTAACTGTTACATATAATGCGAAAAATGATGTGCTTTTGTAAGTCATTAAGTTTTTATTTTCAACGTAGAAGGAACCAGTTCAGTAAGTTATTGTTTGTATTTTCTGGGTCAAAATTTGGCAATCTGCCCATCATCAATGAAAATTTTGGCCTGGGTCATGACCACTGTATCACCATCTTGAGATTCAAAGACTGTGCTGAGACTAAATGAAAGCACAAAGTAAGCAGATATGATGTCAATAGTTTCTAAGATATTAAGGATGAATCTATTTTGAAGCTTGACACAAGACCTCTTTATCATTTCCAAGAAAATTAACAATCCAAAGTATATAAATCTGATTGATACAGCACAACCACTTGGTTAAATTAATTTACTAATGTAGATCTTAAATTGTTTGCAAAATTCTGTTATAGCATTTTGAATTGACAATTATTTTGATTTTGTGCTGTGAAATGTCTGACCTGTATGTGTCTGATCAGAGTATGCTACTTCAGTTATGTAATGTAGAAGAATCTAACAAATAAAGAGTATCCTGTAACTTTGTAAAGATATTTTATGGCATGCTCATTTATAAAACATATCCTTTTTCTGTACCCGTCTGCGTGTTTTGGCAATTTTAGGGAAGATGCATGTTTTGTGCATTTGTAGACATGTTTTGAATTGTATTGTATTTAGACTTTTATGTAGAAAATTATGTATTTTTTATTATGATTTTTTGCAAAACTTTAACATTAATATTCAAATTAGTATATTAATTAGTGCATATGATGTATAGTAGCATTTTCTTAGAACCTGACAATGGACAGATGTCATAGTTTCTTTTATTGTAAAGTTTCCTACTATTTTGTGAAAATTGTATAACAATGCATACATTTGTTATTAATCATCAGATTTGGTCAATAGTGTTATGGTCTCTGTAGTAATATGGTGAAAGTGTATGAATTGATCTTAGATTTTGTTGAATTATCATAGTGTAGGTATTCCATCCAAATTGGTGTCGGAGATTTAAATATTATTTTTTAAATTATCATTATAGTTTGTTCATATTAATTGTTCATAATATAATAATATTCTCATTTAATATTTAATATTTCACTTCCCTTGTCTCTTTCCTAAAAGATACAGGAAAAATGTTTTCTTCTCATTGTATACTTCAAATCTTTTGCTGAATAACAAATAACAAAATTTTGGTCTTAAATATTTGGTTACAGATTGAAGTATCTTGAACAAAGACAGAATGTAATTTCTGAGTTAGTAATGACAGAAAAGGAATATGTCAGAGATCTGAAAATAACATTTGAGGTCTTCAATCTTCATGATCCTTCCAAGCTTGAAAGTCGAGGAATAAATGTAAAAATGTTGTTTGGCAATATCTCAGAAGTGAGTATGACAACGTTAATGCGTTGATATTTCGAGAATGTCTATTACATGAAGGTAACTATTGCTTTGTTTATTCAGGTAATGTGTTTTGCTGAGGAGTTTTTGGATAAATTACTTTTCAGCATGAAGGGCAAAAATGAAGATGAACAATGCCTAGGTGTAGTTTTTTTGGAAATGGCTGACCAAATGAAAAGTGTTTATGGAGAATATTGCATGAATCATGATCATGCTCTGGGACTCCTAGAGAAGGTACCTTTTCCTTTCTTCTGAAATTAACCCAATCAACTCTTGTGAAAACGTGGAAATAATTAAGTTTTTAAATTAGTTTGTTAGCAACTGTCAAGTTCATGAATAACATGAGTAACAAAATTTTGTTTTATACCATCACTAATGCTGAAATTAGAAGCCTTTAGTTCCATTTAGTTTCATGAATTACGGTTTTAAATTCTGAAACTCTTGTTATAATGGTTTATGGTTTTCAGTCATATTGTCACTCCATGATCTACTTTTGGAGACTTTATTTTTCTTTCTTTTTCTTTTGGCGTGTACTTATTGTTTGAATGGAAACTGCTGAAATAGAAAAATTTAATTGAAAAAGTAATTAACTTTATTAATATTATATGTTTGATACTACTTGAACTATATTTAATAGATGACTGTGAGATAATGAAATAGGAGCTGCATTTGAATTGTGGGTGACCCCCTTCTACTCTATTTCATTCTCTTAATACCAAAGTAAAATTTACTTGGTGTCTGTACATTGATGTTTGAAGTGTCAGTTTTAAATTAATGTTTTTCTTTTTTTAGTATGAATCTGAACAAGAAGTGCAGAAAGTTTTTAATAAAGGTCTTGAGACTTTACGTTATCAAATTGCTTGTTTTGATATGAGTTCAATTCTCATCAAACCAGTTCAAAGAATTTTAAAATATCCTCTAATTTTGAATGAACTAATCAAGGTAATACATTTATTAGTGAACAAATTCTCTATTTTGAATATATATGTTTCTGATGTCTTCAAAATTAACATTTTTTCTTCATGTAGTGCACAAGTGAGTCACATAAGGACAAACCAGATTTGCTACGAGCAGTGAAGACCATAATGGACGTTGCAACATACATCAATGAGTGCAAACGTCGAAAAGACATTGGTATTTTCAAAATTTTTCTAAATAATTTTATTGTTTATTGTACCCTTCAGCTTTTCATATAAATATTTTATTCACAGTTTCAAAATACCTTGTGGATGGTAATGCTACAATATCTAGCAAAATGTCAAGACTCTCTTTGCATTCTGTAGCCAAGAAGTCTACTAGATTTGGAATGCTTGTTTCATCCACTCTTGGGTTTGGTGCAGTGGTGAGTTTCGATACAAAATTTCATTAATTTTCATTTATACCACTTTACATGATGTTAACATTATTTTTGCCTAATTGTATTGACTTGCTTTTTGTCATTGAAATTACCTTTTATTTCTTATAAAAAATGAAATTAATTATTAATCACACCTTGTGTATTGGAAAAATAAAACTTATGTAGTTGGACCTCAATATCTCAAATTTGCAAGGAAAAAATAATTTGAGTTAGCAATATTTAAACTTGCTGATCAAGATTGAGTCACCATGAGGAATAATGCAAAATTTTAAGATATAGAAAGCTGTAAGTGATTCAATATTGCTATATGCATGTAATTAATGTAATTTGGAAATATGTGAAAATTGTTGCAAGTTAAGAATAATTTTTGCTCTTAAAGGCAAACAGATGAGGGTTGTGGAGAGTGAGACTACAGAAATGGCTATTCGAATATTGGTTGCATATGCGAGCCCTTTCACATTTTTATCATGAGGAGGAGAGATCCTGTAATGTAAGGTAGTAATTTAACTCACAATATCTTACCCTCGTAAACAGTGTGTCAATATATGAAGTAGTTTAAAACGGTTTCCTCAGAGTTTTATCTCTGCTTACCAGAAAGTCAGCAAACAACACCTTTTATCTGTAGCATGGTTATATTGAATTTCAAACCCCCCAGTGAAAAGAGAAATAGCACTGTAAAGGTTTGTTCAAGAAAATATAAAAAATATAAAAAAATGAGTGATTGGGGTTTGTTATTTTATAATATTCAACTTGATTATTTAATTAAAACCCTGTGTGTAAATAGGGAAAGTTAATTTTTTTAAATTGACATTTTTTAAAATGCACATCAAGCACAAAGAGTATAAACAAATCTTTTTCAAAGAATCTGAAACCACCTCAGGTGGCTCAGGGGATCACTGCAGTGCCTTTGACCTGGGGTCCTTGGGTTTGACGGTGGCAGGATTTTCGTCACTAGCTACATAACTAGGATGAAATCAGCTGCTCCCTGGAGAAGAATTCTTGCAGTCGGCTGCTCTAATCAGTAATTTTCTGTGGTTTCTCCAATCAACACTAGGCAAATGCCAAAGCAGAACCCTAACAAACAGGCCATAAACCATTGGTGATCTTTCCTTCCTGTTCCTTGTCCTATCCTCTCCCCTTACTTACTCACACTCACACTTACACTTACACTTATATGCACTACACTATCACACATGCTGAGAGACCAAAAGTCTAAAACAATTCTCGATAAAGACAGTGGGGCAGTAGCAATATCATCTTAAAGTTTCTCTAAAAATCATAAGTGTGCACTCCAAGGAAATCTGCATGGTTTGATATATTCTGCCCTTCAGTGTTGCAATGCTACACTTGCAGACCTCAGCAATGCAGGGAGATGAAAAAACATTTGCTACGTCCCTTGTAAATCCAATTAAGGGAGGTCCAAGCCTTACTTGGAAGAGTTTAATGGAGGGATTTTGTTAGCGCCAGTTTTAATTGCTTATTGGTTTAAAACAGTGTTTATGTTGTGAATAAGTTCTGATGAACTAGAAAGCAATGTTCAGCCATGCTGTAGACCAAATTTGAGTGCAGATGTTCTCCACAAACTGGGCAAAGTATCTTGTGTACTAGAAAAGGGGTTTTGAAGAATCTCATTGGCTTGGGGTTTAGCTTAGTTTTCTTGAGGTACAAGGTGTAAGACTAGGTATTTAGGATGATAGTTGTAGTATAGTGTAAAGACAGTATGATGTACATGGAGTTTTGTGTCGGCCATAGATTATGGAGAAAGAAGCGGGTATCTGTCTTAGTTCTTTTGTTTGTGAGGTGCTTTCTCTGGAAGAACTTTGTAAGCTTTTGTAAATCTGCATACAGAGTTCTTCCAGAGAACATTAGGGAGGGTGAAAAGTATTTTTTTTAAAAATTGAAATATCGAAGATTTTGAGGATGCTTTTTAAAATAGAGACTTCGTAACATTTTCTGTTTGAGTTAATGCACTGAAGCCCAATTCATACATTTATTTTTCTAAATATGTTATTGTTTTGGTTGCTTCAAATTTATTCTTGATTGATAGTTAATGATAAATTATGATTTTTTACTTGTTGCAGACTAAGGATCCTGCTTTCATTGAATGTGAAACGGCTTTTCATGCTATTGAGAAGACCATTCGCACTTTCTTAAAAAATATTGAATCCTTTATTCAACATTTGCATGAAGTTGTTTTGTCTCAGTGTTACATCGCTGAAGGATTTGCTCATTTTTATCAAGAAAGGCATCCTGATGTGGAAGAGTTTGCAAGAATTCAAAAGTTGGTTAATACTCAATATTTTAAAGAGTTTGTAAGTATAAACTAGCATTTCTCTTCAGTTTTAATTGAAATGTGTCTGTTAATTTGCAAATGGGGATAAAAAACAGAGAGATTGATAATGATATAGATATTATATTCCCATGAGCCAGAATTATTAAAGGCATTGTGTGGAAAACCTGAGATTTATAATTCTTTGAACTTCACGAATGCTTTTATACTGATCAAAAATGCCTCTATTTTCTGTTTTATGTATTACAGGTAAGATTTATTTTCTTTTAAAGTTTCATTCCTTTAGTCACTCATGACGCATGAGTTTCTAACTGGGAGTTTAGTGTCCTAATAGTACATCATTGTTTTGCTGACTTTTGTGAACATAAACATTTTATTAAAATAGATTAATGATTTCTGCCTGATTACACTTCCCACCCTGTGTTCCATACTGTTTTAACTGTTTTGATGATAAATAAATGTATTAGAATACTCATTTTATTGTATATAGAATGAAAATTGTGACTGCATTACTTTATTTTATAGAGAATAAGGATATTTATTTCTCAGAGATATTGAACATCGTGTACTTATGGAAAACCAGATTACTGTTAATAACTGTGAGCATTTCATGTTCGTTTCTTTATTTTTAAAATACCTTCCCCATCTCTTTAACTTTATTAAATAAATATTTCATGAACTTCTTGTAGCTAAGAGTTTTAAAAAAATAGCCAAATTACAATGGCTTGAGTATATTTTTCATGTTTTCATCACAGAAAAGAAATTTGAAAAACTGAAATTATTCTAAAAGTTTTTTAGATTTTTTAGAAAGTACGATTATGCTTCGTTTAAGTTTCTTGTGAATAGTGTTTTCTTTTTATATTTTACTTTGAAGATTATGTAGGATTTGGGAAAATGCTCCTGATGCATTGCTGTTGTTTTATCATACATTTTTCGATTTGTCTTATCTCTTGTTTAACCCTGCATGACTCGCATCTCGTTTCATATTGCAAATTATTGTGTGGGCTAAATATGTTAAATGGCAGGCCCTTGTTAAAATTATAGTCAATTAGCTAATTTGAGTTTTGTATAAATCATTTGAACAAGTACTCTGTTATCTTAAAATGTTTATTTGAATATGATATGAAGTCATTTAACTTTTACTTATGGCATTTAATTCTAAGTGTGTTATTTTCTGGATTAAAATGTGATTAGCGATATCTATTAACGTACAAAATATTTTACTTCTCCATTCTTCATGATTCATTCAGCAGTCATGTCAGTATATCACTGTAGTCTATGTCAACAATTTATGACTTTCACAATAGTCTTTTCTATCACCCATAATTGTAGTGCTCATGCAGGCTGCAATTGTAGCTGAACCAACTTTAAATCTATTTGACAACAATGTGCTTATTATGAAAAGCTCAAAAGCAGACTAGAGGTTGAATAACATGTTGAGTACAATAATTGCCCTTTGCTTTAAACTGAATAGACGTTGTGCGGCACCAAAAACAAAAAAACTGTACTACACCTGTACCTTGTATGAATGCCCCAAGGTTAACTTTTAGTAATTTGCATTGATGCTTACTATAAGATGTACCTTTATTTCAAATTGAAACTTTTACAGGAAAATACTGTGCAACGTAGGGTGACAAACCCTTTGAATACAACCCTAACATTGTTTGAGGGTCCAGCAATACTTATTCAGAAACAGAATGATAAATTTTTAGACTACAATGCATGTGCTGCTAAGGCTGAGAAGAATAAAGATGTCAAAATTGTGAGCATAAACTTCAATCTTTCTTTGAATTTCTCTCCACAAACCTAATGTTATATATAAAATAATTTCTTTCAGATCCAAGAAGAATTACTGATTGCCAGAAACAATTACCAAGCATTAAATGACCAACTTCTTGAGGAACTGCCTATGTTGGTTTCTGTATCTAGTGATTTATTTGTTGAGTGTTTATCTGCGTTTGTTACTGCTCGAAAACTTCTCACCGCAAAAGTCATGAAACATTATTTAGCTGTGTTGGAGGTATGCATAACGTTGTAATACTCTGTTTGTGTGTTGGGGGGGGACGTGTGTGTGTGTGTGTGTGTTTTACAAGGGCAGAGGAAAAATCTTCCAAAGACACTATGGAGTCCACACTCCGCAGCGTGTAGGATTCACAGCTAGCCTATGCCTTACTCACTAACCCCCCCCCCCGCTCCTCTGATTCCCTTCCGGCAGAACTGTGGTTAGGCATTGTGTCACGAGAAGGACGTAGGTCACTACTGCACTCCAATTCTTTAGGGATACCAGCATCCTAGTGACTATGGTGTCAGGAGTCTCTAAGAATATGTGCTTCACATCTTCAACCAATGGGTCACAGGTTGGCCACGAGTCATCGTTCAACCCCAAACAGAGCTGGTATGCATGGTAGCACCATTGCCCCTTTAACAACTGGGTCAAATAATGACCCACATCTCTGTGTTTCCTTTGAGTTCACATTGTTGTGTCTGGAATAAGACGAAATATCCATGTACCTGTGAATGATGGAACCCATTGCCGTTGCCACTGGGCCATTGTCATGACCCTCACTTCTTTCATGATGATGCTCATAATTGTAGCTCCCTCTTGCTTAAGTCTGCTTAAGTCTTGCTTAAGTCTTGCTTAAGTCTATAACGTCTGTGGCCCTTTCTTGTGCCATGAGGTCTATTAGGGGCATGTCAGCTATCACACACACAGCTTCATTTGATACAGCGCAAAACGCCCTGGCCATCCTCAAGGTGGACCTTCTATACACTGTCTTTGCACTGTGGGCGTACGACTGGATCCCAAAGGCATCAGCCCAAATGGGGGCCTGCATAAAGCAGAATGGAGTTCACTGCACTAGACAGTAGCCGCCGGCTACTTTACCTTGGATCCCCAATGTTAGGCATAATTTGTGCCACGGCAGAGGCCATGCGGGATGCTTTCTTGCAGACTATATGCAAGTGTTCATCGCAGTGCAATCTCGCTTCAATCTGGACTTCTAAGTATCTTAGTGGCTGCTGGAAGGCTATTTTATTACCCCTACATTGAAAGTAATACCCTCATTCACTTTCCTGCTTGTCACTAAGACAGCTTCTGTTTTATGCTTGGCCATCTGGAGCCCCACCAACGTTAGCCATTGCTGGATCGCAGCCACAGCCTCGTTAGCAACGTTCGTGATCTCTTCAGTATATTTGCCGACCACTACCACTGCAACATCGCCAGCAAATCCAATAGCCCTTGCACCTTCTGGCAGCTGGAGCTTCAAAACGGAGTAATACATAATATCCTAAAATGGCGAGCCAAGTACCGAGACTTGTGGAACCCCATCCGAGATACCGTAGGGCTTTACTCTGGTCTGTTTTGTATAGTAAGGTTGTTTTCTCAAAGTAGCTTCGGACTATTTTCATAACGTAATTTGGAACTTCCAGATTTTTTAATGCAGCAAGTATGGAACTCCACCTAGCCATATTAAATGTGTTTCTGATGTCGAGGGTAACAATAGCGCAATACTTCTTTGTGCCTCTTCTCCATTGTTTGCCCTCAATAGCCTTGCGTGCGATATCAATGAAGACCCTAATTGCGTCTACTGTGGATCTCGCATTCCTGAAGCCATATTGATTGTTGGACAGTCCCTGTGGTTCCTCCGTGTAGACTCCAATCTATTTGCAGATGATCCACTCTAACACTTTGCCTGCAATATCCAGTAAACATATAGGCTGATATGCTGACGGGTCACTAGGAAGCTTATTGCCCTTTGGAACGAGGACTAGCCGTTGTTGCTTCCAACAATGAGGAAAATCCCCCTCTCACTCTCACACATTATATGCCTCTAAAAATATATCTGGTCGAGTCCTAATAGCAGTCTTAATAGTCAAATAAGTAATGTTTGTTTATCTTAATATTATTGTGGGGTAACGTGGGCCCCGCCTCAGCCAAAAATCCATTGATAAAAATATTTTAAAATAATACTTATCCACGATTTTCTAAAAACAAGTAAAAAAAAAGGCTGAAAAATATGGTTTTATGGGGTTTGTGGCATACATTATTTATCTCTTAATGGATGCTGTGGACAGGCAGTTTGTCTTTCACCATTACACTCTGGGTCTTTAGAAAGTTTCTTTGCAGAAGATTGCATTTCCGCGGGTATATATTATTAAAGGAAATATATTTAATATTCTGTTCTTCTAAAATCTTTCTTAAAACTTTTGTTGAAATTTGAGATGCCCAATTGTCTAATGTTAAATTAGATTTTATCCTCATAATTATGATGGTAAAAAATAAGGAAAAAATGATAAAAAATTATAATGAAAATTATGATTGCGCAGCCTTCCTTGACCAGTTTGTATTGTCTTGGCTATCTGGGATGAGCCGCGTCTCTCGTGGTGGCTGACATTTTGACCAACATGTTATGGCCTTCCTCAGTGCATACTGCTGAAGAGAGATATGGCTCGTCCCAGGTAGCGTAGACAATTCATGATGGTAAAGGATTTGAAAGTTATTGAAACCTCTTCGAAAGATGTTGGTCGAATGACAAATTTGATTATGTTTGCTCTTGTTCTCTAATTTTTATAATAATTTTCTTCTTGCTGGAATTTTTTGCTCTTAAAATGTAATGGATAAAATTCAGTGTTTGTTGATTGTATATTTCAGCAATCTAAAACAATATCATCTTCAGATGTTGTGGAATCGTGTTGTGTGAGATACAATTTAGTGCTAAATCAGCTCTGCAGGTTAAATTTCCTTTCTGCCAAAAAGATTCTCTCGAATTCTCCCACTCCGAAGTTAAAAAATCAAAGTACAGAGGAACTATCACAGGTAATTTTTCTGTTTGTGCTCTGACTGTTCTAAAATGTTAAGAAACATCAGTTTCTATTGTAATTTTACATTTGCAGGAGGCTAAAGACCAAACTTCTAGCCAACGCGCTTATTTGCAAAGTCAGTATGGCCCAGATAAAATATACTCTGTTATTAGACCATGTGTTGCAAATGAAGCTCTGGAACTGAGCCTCAATATAGGTCACTTAGTTGCAGTTATCAAGAAACAAAATCCAATGGGAGACTCCAAAATATGGTTTGTGGATGATGGAGGTATGAAATATTGTTTTTATTCTTCACAGATTTAGGTGTAATTACAGTTAATTTCACCTTCAGTAGCAGTAAAATAAGAGGATGCGTCAAGTTTAACAGTGATGGACCATTTGTATTCCCAACTGCATTCATATTTTAAATATTTTTCAATATATTGGTGTAAGCAAATCTCAAATATAGGCATAAGGCATAATGTTTAAGAATTTTGAGTGTGAGGTGCCATGAAAAAAATTATTTCTACTTTGAAAAACGTTTTTAGTCAACTGTTTATGGTACAAAGACCCAGTGATGAAAAATTCATTATTTTAGGTTCTTGAGAATTATATTTTAAAATTCTCAGAGAAACTCGCAGTATTGGAAAAAATTTAAAACTAAATTTTGATTATATTGCTGAAGAGAAACTAAATGTATTTACTCATGTTAACACAAGCTGCAAAAATAGGCCTCTAAAATATAGTTATTAGTATTTCCTTTTAAGGGAATAACCCATTGAAATATTGGTCCACATCCTGAGGAGTTGCAGAGAAGGCTCTCTTGTGTTCTTTTCTCCATTTTCCATTCTCTTGTTCTCCATTTCATTTTACCTCCCCTCTTTTATTACCCTTTTTCTTCTTCATTAGCCTACTCTCTAGATGAATGCCCACCTGTGTGTGTGCTGTGCAGGTCAACCCGTATTGGACGAAATGGGTGTCTTGGTGGTTAAGGAGTCTGTTTGTTTCTCATTTGCCTTCCTGTTGCTTCACTTCAGACCTTAGGAGTATGTTGGTGTATATTTAGGATACCATTCTACCTTCTCACATACAATGTCACTCTTCTACATGTGTGGACAGGAGTTAAACCACTCCCCCTTCAAGTGTGTGGCTGGGAAGAAGCCATGCCAATTGCTACTGCTACCTACCCTGGGCACCCCTCTATTAGGTTGTTTGGTGGATAGGTATCATGGGTATGAATTCCAAACCCCTTTATGGATGTGAAAACCCCCCATATCCTGCTCTCTTCCCAAAAGAAGAGGATGCATTCTGAAGGGCGAGGAGAAAGAAACGTTGATCTCAGCAGTGTTTTTGTCATAAAGGCTCAGATAACCCGACACCAGTTGATATTGTTCATTGCCCTTGAGAATTTCTGACCAGGAAGTAGTATTTATTTGTTTATTTAATTTTTTGTCTATCTTTATATCTACCTGTTTTTCACGTCAAATCATAGTTAAAAACTTTGTAAAGTACTTTAGGGAGAAGTAAAATCTCTGCACATTTTCTTGAGCTCATGTATGATTCGAGATCCGACATTGGCGAATTTTTGACACTAGCTATATAGCTATGTTGAATTCAGCCACTGTCTGGAGGAGAGTTGTAGCAGGGGTTCTAAGTTAGAAGAGTGTTTTGCAAAGCATCAGGAAGAGGAATGGACTTCATTCTCTTTGAAGCCTGCACCAGCTCAGAGCTCACTGGCATTGTCCCTGGTGTCTCTCTGAGAGTATCCTTGGGTGCGAGTACCATTAGTGGCATATTTTTGATACACAGCTAGGTCAAATTCAGCTGCTGTCCGGAGGTAAATTCTTGCATCTGGCTTCTCGATCTGTAGTTTTCCGTGTTTTTTCGTATCAATACCAGGCAAATGCCAGAGCAGTGCCCCAACAGAACAGGGCTATGGGCCACATGCAGTCTTTCCTTGCACTTCTTGACCTCTCCTCTCCTGTTATTCACCATCTCGGGCATGCACTATACTACTACACTGGTTGGGAGACCAGTCGGAAGCTTAAAGCTTGACCCAGTGAGGGCTGTACTCTGCTGACAGGAGATACCTGGAGGCAGAATCCGCCGCAAACTTACCTGTAGGTTAGCACCAGATCTCGCCATCCAGAGGGGAGGATCACATCCAGATCCGGTAATAAAACATTCACTGCACTAATGGGACTAATTACCATAGCAGTTGATGTGTCTGGGGTCATAAAGTGAATCAATCAATCAATCAATCAATGAATAAAAGCCTGCACTGACAGTTGATAAACTATCCAAACCCAAACAGATTGCTGCCCTCCAGGATAAGGTGTCTATCTGCCCCAGCCTGTTTGAGAAAAGGAGTTGTCTGAGGATTTCCTTTGAGAAAATGAAAATCTTTTTCCCTGGCTCAAGGAGGAAATATATAGAATCAAGCAAAAAGAAAAATGGAGTTGGATTTCCCACTTCCACTCAGATTCTTACTTTCGACCACCCTTCTCTTCCAGAACCAATGACTTGTGGTTTTTATAACCTTCAGATGCGTCAATACATGCTGAATGTCCTGTGAAGATATAAATGCCGGAAGTTTGAGCATAGTGTTCAGAGTCTGTCATTCCTGTGCCTATCAAATATGTCGAAACATGTATGAGAAAGCACCCTGCTCATAACCCCTTAACTGCAAGGATAATGTAGCAAACTCCAACCAGGGCCTTGTCTTTATTAAGGAGAAGGAAATCCAAAATATCAGGGTGTCTGAGAATGTTTCATTACCGGAATTAAGGAGGAGATACCAGGTAAAACAGGCCCAGGATCAAACTTTTACCTTTTTTATGGAGCAAGGTCGTGCCCAGATAGCAGCGAACGTCCAAAAAGAGCTTGCTACTTCTAACGCCCAGTTTCAGTTAACTACCTTAGACCCTCTCAAAGGGCAAAGTTCATTATTTCTTCAAAATGTAAGAAATTCGAAGATGTCTACCCCTGCTCCTCAAAAACTCATAGTCTAACAGATGTCCTAATTAAGAATTAAGATTTGAACTAAAATAATGAACTTATATACTTTATCCAAAATACTCTCGTTGCTTTCATTTAATTGTTTCTTTAATAATTACGCTAGCTGTTGTTTCACAACTTGGCACACACATGAAAATTTAAACTTAAGTTTACATAAAATTATTTACGGACTATGTGCTGAAGGAATCATGGGACATGGTTTATAATGCTGTTGACACAAATGAAAAATATAATCTAATTTTCTCAAAACTTGCATTTCACTTTAACGCATGCTCTCCTCTCAAAAAGAGAAAATTAAATATTTCACGAAAAGATAATACTTGAATCATATAAGGTATAAGAACATCGTGTAAAAACAAATGCACGCTTTACTTTATTTCTAAACATCATAAGGTATCACCCGGTTTCCATGTCTACTTCGGAGAATACAAAAGAATCTTAAGAAAAGTAATAGTTCAGGCAAAAATAATGAAAAATAATCATGATATTTTAAACGCTAAGTAACAAAACTAAAGCAATGTGGAATATCGTAAAAAATACAGCCACATCATCTCGTTATTTAGTAGAGAATGTTGATATAAAGGATAATGAATGAAGCCAGTAGTCGGGAAAAAGTGGCAAATCTCTTCAACCAACACTTTTCTAGAATTGCGGCTGAACTCATGAAGGGACTAAAACCATCAAATTCAACATCATTATCTTCCCAAAAAATTGTCGACACTATTTTTATTTCTGAAACTACTTCTAACAAAATCTTACGAATAGCCAGTAAACTAAAAATAAATATTCATCTTGTTTAGATGAATTTCCGGATTGTTTATTGAAAACATGTCTACCTGCCTTTATACACCCGTTAACTCACATTTTCAATGCTTCTTTATGCACAGGAATATTTAGATATTTTCAAAACAGCAAAAATTAAGCCACTTTTTAAAAAGGGAACAAAAGTGAAATTAAAAATTACCGATCAATTTCTCTTTTGTCAGGTTTCTCTAAAATATTAGAGATGCTTTTATATACGCGAATTGAAACTTTTCTCGGGCAAAACGAAGCGTTTTCAGACGAACAACGCGGGTTTAGAAAATCAAAATCTACTGAAACTGCCATTTTTTTCTGTTCATAAAGATACTGCTTCATCAATGGACCAAAATGAAGCACCCATTGGAATATTTTTACATCTTTCCAAAAAGCTTTTGACGTTATTGACCATAACATATTGCTATCAAAATTACCTTATGGAATTCGTGATATAGCCCTAGATTGGGTAACCACGTACCTTAAACATCGATCTCAACGAATAAAAATACCGTACTGGCGGGAAAGAACATTATTTACTTATCTTTCCAATTCTTTACCAATTGAATGTGGGGTTCCGCAAGGTTCGATCATAGGTCTTATCCTCTTTCTGTTATACGTAAACGATATGCCGTCGTCTATTAAAAACGGAAGAAGGGTTCTGTTTGCCGATGACATGAATGTTCTTTGCAAAAAAGAAAAAAATAATTGTACGATTTCAGAAGTTTCAAATTATTTTCGTAATAACAAATTAATAGTTAATGAAGGAAAAACGGTTTCAATGCATTTTTGCCTTTCAAATCAGCAATGGCCTACTCCATTAAAAATGAATAATATGCAATTAGGTGATGTTCGTGTAAGAACATTTCTAGGTCTGTCAATTCAGTCAAACCTCAAATGGAATGTACATATAAGAAAATTAAACACTAAATTAAGTTCATTATGTTGCGCATTCAGAATTCTGTCAGCCTTCATGCAGCTCGTTGCGTGTATTTTGCAACTGTACATTCCCGTCTGAGATATGGTATAAAATTCTGGGAAACTCATCATGTAGTACTCAGACCTTTAGATTGCAAAAGAAAATTATTCGAATAATGAAAAAATGCCATCCGCGTTACCCTTACAAGCATCTCTTCATTGATCTTGGAATCTTACCACTGCCTTGCCTATATATTTACGAATCTGTAATATTTGTCAAAAGTGACTTACTTAACGGTGGGAAGATATTTTCATGCAATACTGATATTTATAATTACAACACACATCGTAAAAATCTCGTCATCAAGTGTGAGTATCAACAGCTCACTATCAGAAATCAACATACAATACATGAACGTTACGTCACAACGCACTGCCAAATGACATTAAACAGTTGAAATCGGTTCACAAATGTAAGTTAAAAGTAAAATATTTTCTGCTGCATAACTCTTTCTATAAGATTAAAAACTATACTGATTATCAAAAAGAAAAATAATG